AGCTGACCATGAAATAGTTTAATGAACTATTGCAGCAGCATGGGGCACGAGGGTTTGGATGCAAGATCAAGTCCCAGGCCCGAAAAAACACTACCAGTTGCTGCAAAATGGTCTCCCAGGGACAGCTCTGGACGACAGGCATGCTTTGTGTTGTCCACATGGAGTTTTATACTTCAAGCCAGTATTTTTCAATGTGGATTTTTTTTTTAAGATTTTGTTTATTTATTCATGAGAGGCACAGAGAGAGGCAGAGACACGGGCAGAGGGAGAAGCAGGCTCCCTATATATAGGGAGCCCGATGTGGGGACTCTGGGATCACACCCTGAGCTGAAGGCAGATGCTCAACCACTGAGCCACCCAGGCTAACCCTGGATTTTTTTTTTTTTTTTTTTTGTATCTGCATCTGGTCATTGTCCGGTGTCCCTGAATTTCCTTCCATTCCACCTGGCAGTCCCCCTTGGGCTCTCCAGCATGATGCCTGCCTCCAACTGGCTGCTTCCTCAGTTAGGTCTGGTCTGGCTCTGGAGGCGTGGAAACGTCTTGACAGTGGATCTCTAGCAGGTGGAAGCATTCTGCTCTGTTCATTCACCAGGGCTGGCCGTGGAGCACAGGAGACAGATTCACGGAGGCGGGCTTTATGTTTATAACCCTCCAGTGGGAATCCTTAGTGCTTTCACCAGGGCAGTTCCAGGCTGGAGTGGGGAACTCCAGGCAACCCCCACTCCACTCCAGGTAGGGCTCCAGGTAGGGCTCGCAGCGCACCCCCACAGCAGGCTGAGATGCCCACCTTCCCCACCTTTCCCACCTTCCCCCACAGCCCCTCTGTGGTCAAGCTGCTGTGAGTTGGGGGGGGGGGAGGCGGGGCTCCAGGCAGAGAGGATAATTTGCCTCCTTGAAATGCTAAAGATTCAGCCTTCTGTGGGAGGATCAGAGGCAGCCACACTGCCTGCCGAAAGCAAAGCCCTAAATCTGAGACCTGGAATGTTTTCAGTGTATCTTGTTACCTTGGCTGAGCCCGCGAGTGAAGTCCAGTGATCAGTACCCGTTTGCTACGTCTCTTTGCAGGATGCAGCCAGCCTCCCCTGAGCCGTGGAGAGGCTCCTCGGTAGTTGGGAGGCTGAGAGGCACAGGAGAGGTTTTCTTCCCTCTCCAACATTTCAGTTACCTCTGACCCCTGCTTGCAGTTAGTTCTCCCAGGCTCGGGGGTCGTTGCCACATCTTGGATATCCCAACCCAGGATATCCCATCCTGGGATATGGTAACAACAGCAATGATGATGACACACACCAGTGCTCCTCAGACTTAAGCCCAAGCTCTGTCAATGCTGCTGGTCTGGGAACCACACTCTGAGTAAAAGAGGTAAATCACAGCCCTTGGGTGCCTGGAAAGCATCATCTCCCTGGCCATCACAAGAGATACCATTATTCCTATGTTGCATGTCAAAAGCTGAAGCCCCAGAGACCTCACGTAACTTGCCTGAGGCCACACAGCTGGGTGGCGGCTGAGCCAGGCCAGGCCAGGCCCTCTGGGCCAGCGCCACTTTGGAAAGGATGCTGATGGGGAAGCCGTTTTCTACTGAACAGTGTCCACGGTCCAAAAGCCACAGGAGGCATTTCAAGGCAGCCAAGTCGGATGTAAATCAGGGAGAGGCCAGGGCCAGCCAGGCGGTGCTGACAGCAGGGCAGCCTGAGGCAGTGTGTCAGGATCAGGTCTGAAGTGGGACTTGCTGCTGGCAGCCGCCTGGTGTGGGGAGCCGTTGGGGGATGCTCACAGCTCCTAGAAGACCAGCGTGGGGCCTTGTCACTCTTACGGCCTCATTTTTTGGATGAATCCCAGGGTGGAGGGCCGGCTGGAAACATTGGCAGTGGGATATGTGGAAGCTGGGAGCTGGTGCATTAGTTGTTCAAGTACAGGTTCATCCTTGCAACTGGGGATCTGCTTGAAGACAAGGGTTGCTGAGATGTGCTTGGCTGGGGCTTTATTTTTGCACCAGGCATCTGCCCCAAGCACCCAGGAAGAGTAGAACAGATTTAGAATCTAGGTTCTCGACTTGTGGTCGCAGGATGTGCGGTCTGGTCATCACCTGGGAGCTTGTTAGAATGTAGAATCAGGGCCCCACCCCAGACCTGCTGACTCAGGCCCTGGGAGTGGGGCCTAGCAAGTTTTAAGAAGCCCTCCAGGCTTAACTTTGAGAAGGGCTGATTTCTCCATCTCCGGCCAAATGCCCAGAGGTTGGGGAGGGTCAGTCCCAATCTTTGCTAAGGGCTGAGAGTACCAGGGCTGCAGGGGGTCATTCTATTCCCCAATTTTCTGATGGCCTAAACATCAGGTAAAGGGGCATGCATAAAGTTATACAACATACCTGAGGCAAGGCATAGGTCTGGATTCTTAAGAGTTGCAAGTGGCAGAAATCAGTTCAAACTATTTATTTATTTATTTATTTATTTATTTATTTATTTATTTATTTATAAAGATTTTACTTATCTATTCATGAGAGATACAGAGAGAGGGAGAAGCAGGCTCTCTGAAGGGAGCCCAATGTGGGACCCGATCCTGGGTCTCCAGGATCACACCCTGGGCCAAAGGCAGGCGCCAAACCGCCAAACCACCCAGGGATCCCCCTGTTCAAACTATTTTTTAAAAAAAGAAAGGAGGGAAAGAAGGAGAGAGGGAGGGGAAGAAAGAAGGAAAAAAACATTTACGAATTCTTAACTGAAAATCCCCAAGTCATACTTCAGGCATGGCTGGATCCAGGTGCTGAGCTATGTCATTGGGACTCCGTTTCTTTCTTTCCATTTCTGGGCTCCTGTGTTGGTTTTATCTTCCTTGGGGTACTCTTAGCCGCATAGGATGCTTCCCCTCCCAGCAGAATCATCTCAGTCTAGAAAGAGCCTTTTTTTTTTTCAATATTTTTTGCACAAGCCCCTGTCATCCCTCTCATTGTCCAGCCTTGGTCAGGTGCTTATCCTTGAGCCAATTGTCACAGCCCCTCTGGTTGGCTAGGCCTGGCTCACATGCCCACCCAGGACCCCATGGGCTGAGAGTAGGTAGGCATGTGTCTCCAGGTGGAAAAGATGTGAGGCTGCCCCCAGAAGAAGTGGCATGGGTGCCAGCAGGCTATATCCACAGGGACTTAGTGCCATTCTTGTCCTCCTCTTTGAGCTGGGTTGCCCTCACACAACTGCTTAGATCTCAGGCCAGATAGAATTATACTCCTTTTCCTGGTTCCCTTAACATTATGCTTATAATTGTGCATTAAACATGCCACCTTCATCTTTTTCTTTGTCCCTCTTCCCACGGTATAGTCCAGGATAGCAAGTTACACATTGCCACAGCACCTACACCTGTTGCAGGCATTACTAACCCACCCCAGCCTTTACAATGCCATGTGTCCACGCAGAAAATGAAGCCTCTGTGGTATCTGTGTCACATGTTGGCCATTACCGTGGGGTTGTGGGCTCCAGAAGAGCAGGGACCTCAGCTGTGTTCTAGTACCTGAAGCAGTGCCTGGCACATCGTAGGTGCTCAATAAATTTTAAATATATATATATATATATATATATATATATATATATATATATATTTATTTTGGGGCAGCCCAGGTGGCTCAGTGGTTTGGTGCCACCTTCGGCCCAGGGTGTAGTCCTAGAGGGTCCTGGGGACCTGGGGTCGAGTCCCACGTTGGGCTCCCTGCATGGAATGGAGCCTGCTTTTCCCTCTGCTTGTGTCTGTGCCTCTCTCTCTGTGTCTCTCATGAATAAATAAAATCTTATATATATAATATATATATATATATATATATATATATATATATATATATTTAAGTAATCTCTCCACCCAGCATGGGGCTCAAACTTACCACCCTGAGACCGAGAGTCGCATGTTCTACTGACTGAGCCAGCCAGGTGCCCCTTAAGAAATTACTGACTGAATATTGCTACCCCACAGTGCTTTGAACACTGGGCACCTATAGGAGCCCGTTGAATGTGGGGACCCTAATGTAGTAATGAGCTTGTCTAATTTGGGGGGAGGGAGCTCTGTACTTGCTGGGGCCATGTGTCTGAGTCCAAGGAAGGGCCTCAGGTACATTGAGGAAACACTTGTCTACCCTACAGGCTTCTTTCTGCCCTCTCACGGCTACTCCGTTCCCTGCACTGCTAATCCATTTACCTGTTCATTGAAATGTGTGATCTTATTTGATAAGAAACCATTTCCTGGTTTTCTGCATTTTTATATTCTAGGAAACCAGGGGAGCCTTCCAGCAAAGCTCTGCTGGTGGAATGAGAGGGGCAGAGGTGATCTTCCTCGACTTGCATTTTTTCCCAAACTGAGTGCCAAAGAACAGGAGGTGTTCTACTTTAAAAAAAATTAAAAAACAAAAAAACAAAAAAAAAAAACCGCCTTCTGGGGTCAATGACATTTGGCAACTGCTTGACTCAGCGAAGTTCAACAGATTTCCTTGGCACTGTGATTCCTGGAGCCTTTAACCAGTCGATGAATTATCATATTCTCCAAGAGTCTGGGGCCCCCAGGCCTCCCTCAGCCCCTCTGTCTTGTCCTGATGTGTCCCTTTGCTTACAGGGACACAGTCATTCACAGACTTGGGCCTGTGACCAGATGGTGCCCCTGGGAGTGCAGGCTTCTGGGGCAGGCTAGGGCAATGGCAGTGGCTTATGTTTGCCGTCCCCGGCATAGGCTGCCAGCAGTCCTCGCTGCTGACAGTTTGAGGAGCTGGGTATGTGAGCAAGTGTGGATGTGTGTGCGTGGGTGCACCTGTATGTGAACTCGTGGGTCTGTGTGTCTGCATGTGTGTGTGTGAGCATGCATGTGTGCATGGGCACCTGTGCACCCTGGTTTTCCCAGCCCTGGCCCCACTGGGTGTTGACTTGTCTGCTCCCAGTGTGTGTGAGTTGGACAGTCACACGTAGAAGATCCCAAGCCCTGCATACAGTCAGAACCTGACCAGATCTTTTCTTCTTTGCTTCCTCTCGTTGTATTAGGTCCAGAACAACAACTTTTGCTGAGGAGCCTCCAAAACGTAAGTGGCATTTGACCTCCCCATGGTGTTGCCGTCTCACCAATGTGGGGTGCTCAGGATCTCAGTGTCTCCTTCAGGCTTGAGGAGGAGGAAGCAGAATGCCCAGGGCTTCAGGACCTCGTCCATGTGTCACCTCTGGGTGTTGGGTTTATGGCCCCTGTTGGCCACCTATGCCTGACTGTGCCGGGGAAGCAACCCTACAAATGCTGAGCACTGATTTTGGAGTCTGGCCTGGACCCCATCCTGGCTTTGCCACCGAGCAGTGATAGGGGGCTTCTTGAGTTAATTCTGAGGATTGGGGTCAGACACACATAAAAGGGTGAGATGCTTGGCTCCCAGTACTGATAGGATGCTCCTATCAGGACTTGGGGCTACTGCCCCAATTGTCTCATTATTAAACTTTTTACTTATTTCTTTTTTAAAGATCTGTTCATTTGAGAGAGAGTGAGCATGCGTGAGGGGGGAGGGGGCAGAGGGAGAGAACCCACAAGCAGACTCCCTGCTGAGTGCAGAGCCCCTCCCCACCACCCATGAGATCCTGACCCCAGCAGAAACCAAGAGTTGGACGCTCAACTGACTAAGCCACCCTGGTGCCCCGAAACTTTTTCTTTTTAGAAAATTGAAAACCTTCAGAAAAGTGGAATGGAGAATACAGTGAAGTCTTGTATACCTTTCACTTAGATATTCCCATTGTTTTTTTTTTTTTTAAATTTTTTTTTTAATTTATTTATTTATGATAGTCACAGAGAGAGAGAGAGAGGCAGAGACATAGGCAGAGGGACAAGCAGGCTCCATGCACCGGGAGCCCGATATGGGATTCGATCCCGGGTCTCCAGGATCGCGCCCTGAGCCAAAGGCAGGCGCCAAACCGCTGCGCCACCCAGGGATCCCGATATTCCCATTGTTAACATTTGTTATGTTTGCTTCATCTCTCTCTATATATGTATGCTATCAAAATAGTCACATTAATACTTTTTTTTTGCTGACTCATTAGGGAGTAAATTACAGGCATGATGCCCCTTTAGTCCTAATCCTTTGACTGTATTTCGTAAGAGCAAGGCCATTCATTCTCTTAAATAAGCACATGCAGTTATCAACCCCAGGACATTTAACATTGACACAATTTTGTAATCTAATCTACAAATGTTAATGACGTTTTGCTGACTGTCTCATATTTACAGAAGCTACCCCCCCCCCCCCCGTTGTTAGGATCACAGTGTTTTTAAATGGGGCAGGAACCTGAGTTTTCTGCAGATTACTTCTTCACCTTGGTTTAAAACATCTTTACTTTGAAAGTCTTTTTTGTTCTGACATTCAGTAAGGAATAGATTTTACGACAGGATACCCTGTGTGTTCGCCCATACACACACTTGAAAGTGAAACCAGTCTCACAAACCCGCAACTTCAATATCTTTAGGGCTCTGTTCTAGTCTGTTCTCTTTTGTAAAAATGATTGTCCAAAAAAAAAAAAGGATTGTTCTGACCCTTTAAGTTGATTTCATGACTCACTAGTAGACTCTACTCTAGAATGTGCAAACCACCCTGGCTTCTTGGGTAGAAATTTCTCCCAGGAGGGAAGGTAGTGCCCTGACCCAGCTCTTACTGGTCCAGATTTGGAGTTTGGCTGATGTGGGGACACCTAAGAAGCCAGGACTGGGAGAAAGGCCCTGAGACCCTGGCCCTCTGCTGCCTACAGTGGGCCTGACCCAATCATCAACAACCCCCCCACTAGGCCACATGACCCCATGGAGACCTGTTCTTTATGCTGTGCCATCAGGCAAGCATATCCCTGGTGGCTCAGGACACCTCCCTGGCTAGCTGCTGAGTGGGCATGGAGATGTCCTAGTCCATGTCAGCCTCCAGAGTCATTACCATACTGCTCACCAATGTCAGTAAGAATGATCATGAGCATTTATTAAACTCTTTAACAGCATGCTAGTTATGGCACCTAGAGCAGCAGCACGTTTTAGCCCACAAGAGTCTTAGGATGTGGGTGCTGCTGCTCTTTTTGTAAAAATGGGAGGTACATTTATTGAGTGCTTACTGTGTGTCAGGTACCCGCCAGGCACTTTAGAGACTCAGTCCTCAAAATAGCCCTACAAGTTAGACACTGATAGTATCTCCATTGTACAGATGTGGAAACTGAGGCACGGGGAGGTGAATTCCCTCCTCCCAAGGTCACGCAGGTAGGAAGAATCTGAACCCCACCTCTTCTGACCCTGGTGCCTGCACCATCCAGCCCTGCTCTCTCCTCCCCCCAGGCTGGGACCAGACTCCTAGGCCAGCCCATTCCCAAGGCCTTGTGCTCGTTAATGAGTAGCCTGGGGCAGACCAGGAATGAGATGCCTGCTGCTGCAAAGCTGGAGTGCACTGAGTGAGTTCTGCTTCCAGATAAAGAGTCTTGTGCAAGGCTCCCAGCCCCCAGCTGGGCTGGTGATTTTCCGGGCAATAAACAGATAGAAGCCTCTCCTACTAGGTGTGCTGATCCAGCCGCAGTTGGTGGGAGCCCATTTCACAGGAGGCACAGCAGAGGCTGAGAAGTGGGTTTGCTCTCAGGCCTGTATGACGCCTCCTCCACATGGCCCTTTGGGTTTATTCTTTCTGGAAGGGCTCCCGGGCCATGTGACACGGCAGGCAGCAGGATTTGGAGGCAAGGGGGTGGTCTCTAGGGAGCACTCCCAGGCGTGTAGGTGTGTGGCCCTCTTACAGAGGCCTCCAGGCTCCCGTCTGAGGAACCTGAGGAACCAGAGGACAGACACTCACAGCCCCTCAAGGCGCGCAGCAGGGAGGTGATTGAGAGGTGGGCGTTTGACGGTTGTTCAGCAGACTTGGAGCTGTTAAGGAACCGGCCAAAACTGATTGCTGGCAGTGGGAAGTCCGTGGAGCTGGAATATCACGCAGTTCTGGATTCGAACCTGTGGCTCCTTCCTATGCCAGCATTGTGGCCTTGAGAGGAGAATCACTGGACTCAAAACCTTGGCTTTCCCACCTGTAAGATGGACCAATAGCAGCACCCAGGAGGATTAGAAAGTATGTATGGTATCAGGGGTAAGGGTCCCTTTGTCCCTGAAGCACTCAACAGGCCTAACAAAATCAGTATGGAGCACCCCCGTACATGTTCTAATTTCATCCCCCTTGGCAGGATCCCTTAGCTCAGTCCCCTCATTCGCCTCTGCTGAAATCAGATCTACCCTTTGGGTGTCTGTGGTCATTTTAGCTGCAGGGGAAACTCTCTGGGCTTGTTCTTTTTTTTTTTTTTTAAGATTTATTTATTATTCATGAGAGACACAGAGAGAGAGGCAGAGACATAGGTAGAGGGAGAAGTAGGCTCCTTGAGGGAGCCCGATGCGGTACTCGATCCCAGGACCCGGGGATCACGCCCTGAGCCGAAGGCAGATGCTCAACCACTGAGCCACCCAGGCGCGCTCTCTGGGCCTCTTCTAAAGATTCCCAGGGGGCCTGCTCCCCCGCCCCCTCCCAGATCCCTCCAGGTTGTAAACTCTGGCAGGGGAGGGAGTGTTCATACAACAGACCTGTGACCCCGCCAGTGACAGCGACACCCTCTTCACTGGCTCCCTGGAGGAGCCAAGAGAGTGAGAAAATGATATTTACTGTCTGCCCTGATCATAAAAATGATACATTAAAAAAAATTGAGATAATTTGACATGCAACAGTCTCTAGGTTTAAGGTGTGAAAACATTTTGATTTGATACATTTCTACTGCAAAGTGTGATCGTCACTGTAGCATTAACTAACACTTCTTTTGGGCCACATAATTACCATTTCTTCTAGTATTGGGAAGTGATGTATTTTTTAAAAGATTTTATTTATTTATTCATGATAGACACAGAGAGAGAGGCAGAGACATAGGCAGAGGGAGAAGCAGGCTCCCTGTGGGGATCCTGATTCAGGACTCCATCCCAAGACCCCAGGATCACGCCCTGAGCTGAAGGCAGTCACTCAACCACTGAGCCAGCCACCCAGGTGTCCCGGAAGTAATGTATTTTTAATAGGGAAAAGTTGGAGAGCACAGAAAAGTCAAAAGAAGAAAATAAAATTCATCTCCTTTCCTGCCATGGAGTCGTAACCACCTAACAGTGCATTTGTAAATGTGTGGGTGAATATGCATTATTTACATTTTGCCTTTTAAAATTGAACTCACCCTGTGGCCTTGTTTGGGAGCCAGCTTCCCACCCCCATTCCCCATTATATTTCTTAGCGTTTTTCTGGGTCTTCGATCTTCTAAGTCAGGGCAGCAGATATTTTTTAAAGGGCTAGATAGGATATATTTTGGTTTTAGGGTCTTGTGGTTTTACCTCCACTGATCTCAGATGGTCTCACATCTGCACTTATACCCAGAATGCAGTCACAGACAAAATGCAAATGAGCGGGTGTCATTTTATACCAGTAAAACTTTATTTACAAAAATAACCTACTAGGGCAACCTGGGTGGCTCAACGGTTTAGTGCCGCCCTCAGCCCAGGGCATGATCCTGGAGACCCGGGATCAAGTACCACGTCAGGCTCCCTGCATGGAGCCTGCTTCTCCCTCTGCCTGTGTCTCTGCCTCTCTCTTTGTGTGTCTCTCATGAATAAATAAATAAAATCTTAAAAAAAAAAATAACCTACTAGATCTGGCCCTCGGGCAGGGGGAGGGGGGGCAAGTTTGCTGATCACTTGCCCACCCCCTATCCCCACTTCTTAACTTAGTTTGGGCAAACCATCATTTATTGAATTAATCCCCTAGTGACGAGAGATTGGCCCATTGTAGTTTCTCTTTCATGTAAACCACTCTGCTATGAACATCTTTCTTTTTTCTTTCTATTTTTAATTGTGGTAAAATATACATAACATAAAATGAACCATCTCGACCATTTTTAAGTCTACAGTATAGTAGTGTTAAATATATTCACATTGTCATGCAACGGATCTCCAGATCTTGCAAAACTGCATGCACTGAACATCTCTGAGTAGGCATCTTTATACACTGGTCTGGTTGAA